TTTTCTCATGATAGCTTTCATACGAGTTTAGGTGGTGATGGGTGCCTCTCCATTACATCTCCTAGAGATGAGTAATTGATCCTACCAAACCAAAGCATAATCAGTAAATTCGATGACTATCAACTTCACCTTCTTCTATTCGGAGTAGTTATGACATTCAAATATCAATTCAACTTTTCGTTCCCATTCTAGATAATTTTCAACATCATTTCTATCTTAAAAAGAAGGAGGTTGTTGTCTCTCCTTTCGGGTCTTTTTTGTACCGTTGACTTTTTACTATCTTCATCTACTTCCCTTTTTATTTCGTCATCATTCAACATATTTCTTCTTTCCCTATTTTACCTCCTTTGATTAGGACCACCTTGTCGACCTCGAAGATTATCTATATCACCTTTCATGTTGTGTATGTCCCTATTATGCTTCTCCAACTATCTTTGCATTGCTTCTCATATAAAGGTTGTCATGCATGGTTATTTCACTCTTCTCACTTCTAGAATTTGACATGATGTAAAACCTGTAAAAAAATATTAGTAAAGAAAATTCCTCACAACACTCCCTTACGTGTTTCACTCTTGAACAAATTTGTAACTTCTCTCGTGTTTTTACTTAGGTTTTTGGCTTTTATCCTTTTCTATGCTCACACCCTCAAATTTTTTACCACTCTATTCTCCTCTTCAGGTTGTACTTCAGAATTGAAAGCAACTTAATTAAGATAAACAAGTAGTTGTTTATGTGACACTTCAAGGAATCCTAATGAATGAAAAAGGTAAACAATTAACACTAGATAAAAATTAGATAAATAAGAACTGGATCTAAACACATAGATTAAGGTGGGTGCGTTTCTTTAAATTAATTAAAGTAAGTAGAATGCAATTAGCTACTTTTAGTGTAATGGAAACAAGAGCTATATGAAGAAACGAAACTAAGAATGTAAGAAAACAATTTTCAACTAATGATAATAGAATTCAGATCACTTCTAATGAGAAATCTGAATATGTAAACTTATAATTTATTCCCAATGTAAGCTATACTGTATACAATAAAAACTATGCTATTGTGAGACAATATAAGTGAAGTGGATGCGCTTTGACTAAGATGGACAGAATTGAAAGTTCAATAAACACACATTTTCTCTTTTGCAATAGAAGCTGATTCTGATATTTCTTTTCTTCCTTTTTTTTTTACTTTTCTTTTGAATTTTTTTTTTTTTAAATTTGGCTAATAAGAACAAAATATGAAAAAATAAAGAACACAAAATTGAATAATAAGAACAAGATGCAACCAAAATTAAGAATAATAAAGATAGAAGTTGAACAATCCAAACAAATAAGAATATGATAAAGTTAGATAAATCAAACACAAATGATATATAGAGATTTGTTGAAGGTCAAAGCTTTGATATCAAATTGATGCGGAACCCGAGGATCAAACATTACATCCAGAACCCCACATATATATTTAGTGTAGATAACGTAGAATCCTAAACAAATTTTCTCTACCAAACCCACAACTAATCTGTAATTGAGAACTTGGGTGATTGGGATGAAAGAATCAAGAATGAATAAACACTACAAGATAACTTGATAAGTTAATTCAATTTTTGATTAAATAAGAAGAATAAGAATTCTCACTTGTCAAAGTTCTACCAAAGGTAATGATATTTATTCAATAATCAAAGTGTGTCATATTACATTATAAATGAGATATTTATAGGCTAAAACACTTAAATTCTGCCAAAGGATCATAATTAAATGATTTAGGAAAATATGAACATAAGTTAAATGATATAGGGAAACATGGTATTAAATGACATAAGGGAACATTGTATTAAACGATTTAGGGGAACATGGTATTAAATGAACTAGGATAATATAGTATTAAATGATCTAAGGAAACATGGTATTACATGATCTAGAGGAACATAATATTAAATGATTTAAGAAAACATGAGTACAATTTAATTATTTAGGAAATGACCAAAATGATCCTACACATTCATTCTAAATTCTACCCACACAGTTGAATGAAATTAATGATCTTCTTTAACTTCTTTGATTCTTCAAATCGTTCACATGCGTTAAATTCTTACTGTATCCATATTTGTACAAGGTCTTGAAATGTATATTTTAGTTTCTTGGCTTGAAACCTTGTGATTGGACCAGCTGGCATTGTAATATCTTCTTCTTGCTTCTCTTTAATGCCTTTTAAACCTATGTCAGCATCACCTAGTCTTATCTTTTATTGAGATTATAAATTTCTTCTCTGCTAATTGGTTATGAGTTATGTGCGCACAATTGACACTCAGAAGAAAGATGCAAAAATTTAGAGAGCCATGGTAATCTGTAAAACTGCTTGATTTGTGCAATAAACCCAGAATGGAATAGCCATTCTGGGTCTTTTTGATAGAAAAATCAGAAAGGATTGTTCACGACTAAGGGGTGTTGCACAAAAATGGTGTAAAATCTGTGTACAAAATAAAAAATATATTGTCATTTGTGCTTTTCACTATCAATCTATGGTGTCAATAATTCAGTGAATACAATAACTACAGTTTGGAAAAGATCAAGCTACTGCAACATATGGAGTGCTACCTGCTGCAAATGTTCCTCCACCATATGCTCTTGCATCAATCTCAGCTCTGCAGTTTGACCACTATGGGCACAGATTTGCTACTGCCGCATTAGATGGAACAGTATGTGCATGGCAGCTGGAGGTCGGAGGAAGGAGCAATATTCGTCCAACAGAATCATCCCTCTGCTTTAATAGCCATGCATCGTATGTGTTTTATTCCTTTTTGGAATCATCTCTCTACTTTAGTAATGTTTTATCGCAAGTGTTTTATTCTACATTATTTGAAAAAAATTGCAATGTTGCCCTAGGAACCATTTAGGTTGATATATTTTTCTATAGCTTATAAGTGAGTAAGATTTAAAAGTTTTTGAAAAATAATTGAAAATTTTTGGTTGGCTAAATTTGTTTTTACTTAACTTATAAACTTCACATTAATAACGAGTGTTTGGTAAAAAAAAAAAGCTTATAAGTTGAAAACTTACTAAGATGACTGAGAAGGGCAAAGAACATATTTTGGAAAATTCTAACGGATATTTTGGTTAGAAGTATACAAGGAAAAACGATTTTTTTGCATGGTTTATAAGTTGAGAAAATAGTAGATCTTGATGGTTTTTTATTTTGGCCTTATCCAGTGGGTTATAAATCAGTTTAAGCTAATCAAATACACTATTAGCTTTTTTTGGGTCATACCAGCTTATAAGCTGCTTTGACCAACAAACAGGTCAAAGCAAATTTACTATTATATCTCATGATCTTTATTTGGGAACACGCATGTAAATCCATAAGTTTATCAAACTAGCTTATAAGCTGGTTTAACCAAACAGTAAATCAAAGCCAACGCCCTCTTATATCTCATAATCTTGTTTTTTTTAATAAAAAGTACATTCTATCATCTTTATTTGGCAACATGCATATAAATCCATGAACAGCACATGAAAACAAACAAA